TGATATATGTGTTGAATATCACCTCTTCGTGGCCCATCGGCAATATGATTCGATTGCCGAATGTCCCATGGTCCAAAAGGAGTAGTTGTCTAGGTGGTGCCATGTTATGCAGCGGAGGACCATAAGTGGTCCCATGTTATGCAGTGTTGGACCAGAGGTGGTCAGGTCCAATAACATCGCAATGTTAATGTAACCATATTTTCTCCATATATTTGGACCATTTTGGTTACTAGCGTTGGTTACAAAGTTGCGTGGTCCTGTACCAGTATTTAACCGAGTCCCACTTTTTGCAGAGTATGTACATATGTGCATGCATAAGCATTAATTGCCATTTTGTGCATATGTTTCTCGATTGGTCGTCACTGCGATGTAAATTTATGCCCGCTAGCAGCAACTGATCAACATAAAATATGCAGGGAAAAAAAATTACGCGAATGAGCATATACATACATATGTAATTATGTTCATATGTATGCATGTAGCTACATATGTACATGCAGCAGAGAAAACGTAAAATAATGCAAGTGAGAAAAATCCCACTAAAAGGCGCAATGTCCAGCCCAGAGTGATTGCCGTTAGCAAAAGCAGTTACAACATTATAGTACATTAAAAGCTCCGGCGTCGACGCTGTTGCACTTAAAAATGTAAATTCAATTTTGCGCATTGTACAATAACACATCGACACATCGCCACATCGCCACATCGGCACAACAACAGGGCATCAGGCTGTCGGACTTGACATGAGCAATCAGCGAACAATCGAAGAGCTAAACGAAATAATGAATAAGGTGTGAGCAGTGTGATTGCGGGCTTGTGAAAAATTGTAGCAGAAAAGAGACTTAAAATGTATTAATATGTATCACTTTTTTGCATTTAAGTATCAAAGTATCAATATGGAATAAAACCAATAATTTTTATGAAAAACCATTTTCCAAAACAATTTAACATTTATTGAATGCAAAAAGGTAAAAGTATCAGTTGTACTTGGGACAAGTATAAAAAAAAAACAGTAAAAATGTCTTATATATAATGTTATTTTTAGTTTAAATACTTCTGAACTTATAGGACTCAGAATTCAATTTTTTTTTATAATTTTTGAGGCATTTGGAAAAAATTATGCATTCCACCATTGGCAAAGTGGAGTGATTTGTTCTATTTGTTTTGATCAAAATTCAGATCTAATAAAATGCGGCAGAGCTATGCAGTAAATATAACAAGTTAAAAATAAAAGAAGATCAAAATATAAACAGTTATTTAAAGCATTTTTTAGCTTGCTTACTATATCAGCTGTGTTACTTGGCATACAGTTGGGTTTGACAAAAAAGGACAGTATGAGTATATCTCCCAAATTCATCGAAAAATGTATCACTTTTGATCCACTTGGATCAAAACGGTCACACTGACTGTAAGCAGGGATGAAACGATACGAGTAATTATACAAGTACATACTCGATACTTTTTGTTCGATACCAAGTAATTTTGGCATCGATACTTTTGAACCACTCTAGCTCAGGGTAGCCAACTCATTTTTGAGTTCCCCGATTGCGATTATGAAATTCCCCGATTTTGCCCGAAATTTCGTAAAATTCCCCACCCATAGATATCTCCTTATTTAAAAAAAAAAAATGTATTTAGATATATTGCGAGTCTTTCTGTTTATTTTATTTCTAAATATAATTTATCTATGTTTTCATAAATTAAACCAAACTTTTGTAAGGTTAGTTAACAAATAAAGAATAAAAAATGTACATAATACACACAGTGGTCGAAAAAATTTAGTCGCACCAAATTTTGACAAGTTTTCACAATTACTATTTTTTTTGTTATTTAATTTGAACTAGTTTTTTATAAAAATATAGTTCATTCTCCAATAAATACCATATAAATCCCAATTTCAAACTTTGTGCAATATTAACAGATTCTACAAACTTTTGTAAAGATTTCGAGCTTTTTTAATCCGGTTCCCTAGAAAGATTTTGGGTAGGCGGTATTGAAGCATATTCAGTTCTAGTATAATAAAGTCCAAGTTTCAAACGGCTAAAAATATTCCTTTTAGAATTTTATTTGGTGTTGGTTGCGGTTTTCTTTTATATAAAAATACATTTTTTTTATTCGCCATAGGAAAGCAAATGCAACAAAGAAAATTCTAAAAGATCAACGGTCATTTGCATAATTGGCAGGGTTGCAAAATCAATACTTTTAGTTGCGGTTGTATTTCTTATGCAACTTTTTTAACTCATTATGATATTAGTGAAGCGAAAAAGAAAAAAATAAGACACACCTAATTCCTCACAAAAAAATCAATTCATCCTCCGATTCCCCAGGTAAACTGAAATTCCCCACAAAAACCGGTCCAATCCCCGATTCCCCACGAGTTGGCCACTCTCAAATCGGTACCATGTCTTCTTTTGGACTCACTTGAAATAACCTTTTCTATTAAAAATTTCCTTGAAAGGAATTTCGCCGAGCAGTTCTAGCCAAAACTATACATAAATACATAGCTACTGACAAAATTGAGCAAGTGGTCTGGCACTCTGCTAAAAGAGCAGATTAGCTCAAGCGACGACAGTTGCCAGACTATTTGTTCAATTTGGTGATTACCCCTTATGTTTTAACCAATGTTTATTCCTCTCGTTGAAAAGGAGAGAGGCTATTGGAAAAGCCGTTGAAATGCCTCCTGATAATATTAAAATATAAGCTACTATTGTCGCCATTATTTTCAAACGAAAGCCCACCGATTTAAATAAATATTTGAATAACGTACAATAAATAAGTTTAACTGAACAAATGTTGCACATAATTTCTATATAAAAGCATACAATTTGCATAGGGAAATCCCTTATCAAACTGAAAAAGAAGAAGCTAAAATCGCTGGCATGGTAGGTTAAAGAGTACAATTCATGGGATCAGCATGCGGCTACCATAGTCAAGAAAGATACCCGAACACATGTTTTCTATCTGGAGGTGAATTTTTATCCGCCATTCGCTGGACTAAGAAGCTAATAAATCAACTGAGTTCTCTTTCCGCCAACAGTTTTTGCAAAATGCTTAAGCTGTAAGGGAAGTTTATAAGGCCAGCCTTTCCATGCTCCCGTATTTTCATACTTATTTCCGGTCTCAGGGCGCAAGTACATTGGATATACTTGCCCGAGTCCGTGGGTTTTTGCTATAATTTCCTATCCATTCATTTGATACGGCAGGCTTTTGGCAAAATATGGGACTACACTGGCGACAGTCCATCCTCTCGAAATGAGTGAGAGCTTCAAACAAAGTATTCTATCAAATCAGTTGCCCTTTCCTGTTCCGTTTGCTGTGCTGTGCGCGTTTTCTTTACACTTCATGAATTAGCGAAATTTCCACGATTGTTCTGCCATGCTCCTTGCAACTACGGTATCATTACCACCAGTATAGTCTCAACAACCTCAATAGCAATCTCGTCTTCAATGCCATTACCAGCATCATACTTATCATCGTTGACATTGTCTCAGCAAACAATTTCTGCCACATCAGCGTTCTAAAGTGACTACTTAAGTATAACAACTTGCAACTTGCCAAATGCCAACATACATATATGTACGAACAAGCGAAAAATAGCAAACATCCTCTTCCTCCGACCGTGACAGGCAAATGACAATCGCATCTTCATTTTGCGCGCTCGTTTACAGTGTGTAAAATGTTGCAGCATCCGCTGACTTTCAATTCGTAATCGACTTGCACTTCATATTTTCGCTTCCGCAATTGCTGTC